ATTTCAACCTGTAAAATACAAAGTACTAATATACTTCAACTCTTATTGATAAACAGTTAAATAGGGTCAACTTAAGCTGTATTGAATAAAGTATGAGCATAAATCAATCATAATAAGATACTGATTAAATTTATGAGTAGTAATGAAGAGGATTATTAAAAAAATATTTTACAAATTCTTATCGGGATCATTCAATGAACTGTAATCATAAGTTCTGTTACTAATGTTACTAACTTGACAAATAACATAAAATCTTATTCTATCAATATGGTTAACATTAATGTAAACATTATACCGCGATATTACCACAGTAGCTAAAGCGATAACTTGATGGCGTTTGAAATGAACGGTAGTGGATTTGAGTCCGTGTGAACATCAACTCAGAGATGCAGGCATATCGGTTCCAAATACGATGAAACATGCGTGGAATTGGATTCCACTGCTAGTAAGGTATCCCGTTAAGATATCAAAGAAATGAGATGTGAGCAAATGAAAGAACTACAAATGCATCACACAATTATCAGTACCAGGAAACGTTTTCAACAGATTATTGTTGAACCGGATGAAGTATTCAGTTTACGTTTAACTTTGAGATCAACATATCGGAATCTGTAAAGATCGATCATGCACAGAACAAATCGCGACACTACGGATAATCGTTGAACAATTAACTGAATGGAATTCGTCTTTGTCTATGTGAAGGCGTTTGATAGCGTGGATAGGAGGAGTCGCTGTGAAGATCGTGAACATCATCAAGAATTCATTCAAAGGACCATACTGAAAGATCATGCATGGAGGACAGCTGACATTCCGTCTCACATTCCAAGTAAGGGCTGGTGTCAGACAAGACTGTTTACACTCTTCTTTTCTCATTTCTTAGTTGACTGGATTAAGAAGGTCCCCAAATATTAAGGAAGGTACATAAAAGTCAAATCATATGATGAAGTGTATGTAAATCTGCATTGAAATGTTTTATAAATAAGAAAAACAGAATGTCATAAACTGAATCAAGGACCCCTTCAAGAATTAAAGTTTCATAGAATTTTGTTGTCATGATGAATGACTTATGAATAAGTAACTAATGGACTTTGCAAAATGGAACAATCTTTATACAAACTATGGAATGATCAAGTAGACTTAAGGATTATTATCATGCATAATGATCATCAGATGAGTTCTGTGAATGACCAACACAAATTCATGTTTAACCTAATTAGTCTTTCAGTAAAAGAGGTTTATTCATTTTAACGAATTAGAATTATACTATTGAATGATGATTCAGTAGTGATCAATGTTATGCTTGTCTAATTCTTTACTGATTATCGAATCTTATCAAATATGACCACTAGTGTTAGCCGTTGAGTTGCTATGTGTTGGTTGGACTTAGTAATTAGGATTCCCTTCGTGACGCAAGTTTCATGCTGGATAGCACTCTTCATGAAAGCCTACTTGTAATCTTTAGGGGTACTGATGCTTTCAATAACATTCAGCTTGTTATTGTCAGATTTTACAATTGAGATATTCAGTTCACAAGTGATCTTCTGTGAAATTAGGATATTTGAAACTGTTTGACTGGTTAACGTCCAACATGGTGCTTATCTATTCTTTCAAGTATTGATGAAGAACGATAAACATTTAGAGCACTTTGTTGGCATCCATTGATTTACACAATTAGCTTCAGTAAACATTTCATTTCGGGATGCACATTTCAGATTGACATTCATGAATTTTTAGGTTCTTTACGACGGTTCATCTTGAGATTAGGAAGATAATTCGTTAATAAACATTTTGGTGGGAAAATGTGACCAGAACTGACCTCATGTTTAGAAAAAGTGGCGTTGAAAAACTCACATTCTTTGTAAAAGCATATGTTTTGTCTGACGAACATATCCTGATGAACGAAATCAAGTAAGCAGATCGATTCACCTTGAGACAAATCAAAGTGTCAGTTTATACCTGAAATGTCCAAGAGTCAGATATGCAACGTAATACACAGTCTCGAGTTTCTTCACACAAATGCTGTTCACAGAAATCTCGAAATTCAGCTTTTAAGGATCTCTGGAGATATATCCCGTTTAGACTGAAATTTCCTTTAAATGGCTTCTTTGGATTCTCGGCACCACTTGCGAGGAGGAATGAAAATTAAAATAGTTGTTACCATTAATAGTAATAATAGGCTAAGGAATTGGTAAGATATAGGTATGATACACTTCAGTTCATGAATAGTAAAAAACCTAAATATGAATAAATCTTAATAGATCTGAACGAATTCTATAAACAGCCTTAAGATCAACAAGTGGATTTGTGAAGTCAGTTGAGCCGACTAAACATTCAAAGATAGAACTCTTAATCTTACGATTAAAATTGATTGGAAAGAGACCTCTTCAATGAATTTCGTGTTTTTAATGTTTAATTTGGTAATTGTAGACTGCTCTCTAGTGAGAGGGTTGCCTGATATGACTCTTATGTCTGATTTGTGTATATAGAACTCATCAGATGTTGGTAAATGGGCACAAGAGTTTGAGAACTTTTAATCCCGAAACATTCTCTTTTTCAACGAGTTATAGGAAACAATTTATCCTTCAATAAATAATAAAACTTTAGTTCAAGAAGTTACTGATGACTATTCAGTTAGTAGTTTGTATCACAAGCTAATTTCAGTCGAACAGCCACTGAGAACCTGAAAGTATTGGACTGTTATTTCATCGAAGTATGCATTCCGTTCTGATCGATTTTCTGGAATTCGCCTAAAAGTCCAAAAGTCCTAAGCTGTGTTCACTAAGAAATAAAATTTGAAAAAGAATTGAGGATTCTGTCCCATTTACCTGAATCAATATACACATAACACCAACATCTATCCGTTCTGCTACTTTCTATACAATTTTCAAAGTAAAATTTACTATTTTCTATTCTCAGTGTGAATTATTTGAGCGTTTACTTAACAAGCATATTTCTGTTGACCTCAGTTGTCTATAGAAACATCATTGATTATACTTTGTTGTCGTCTATTAACACATTCTATCTCACTAATCAAACAATATGGTATTCTCTTTACTGTATAGTGCTGTATAGTGGGCGTAATATGAATTTTAGTTGGAATCAAAATTATCTTACTCTAATGATGTGTCTGTGTGACCGACCTTCACCTACATAGATTGTTGGAACAACAATGAGTGAAAATCTCATTTTTACAAAAGATTCCTTCTTTTCTAAATATCAAATTTAATGAAAACTAGTCATTTGGCTCTCAATTCATAGAAGGTCTAGCTCCTCTATAACTGAAAACTGTAATCACTTACCATCTGAGTTGTATTGTTTAACTAACTTCATTATTATTATAAGCAAGAATAAGTCTTGTTTGTGATTAATGTTTTATCCCACTTCAGATAGATTTTCGTACACCGAGTAAGTTGCATAACGTCAAAAATGGAGTGTATCTCACTGACGAGGTGAATCAATAATACTACGGTGAATACGACAATGTTTGAATGCATGAGTCGATCTAAGCTAGAACACCATTAAAAACCTGGAAGCACAATATATCACACTTGGCGAATGAAATTAGATGAAGTCCAGGATATATGACTTTTGATTGAAATCACGAACCAATCAATATGATCAATCTATGAGAAACCGGAAATCACCCAGCAGTCAGTTTATTGTAGTACGGGACGCCTTAGCATCGCAGTACCACACTCTCACACACTGAAATCGACTCTGAGACGTATATTCTCAAGCGAACGCTTAATCTCCTGCAACTGAGTCTCAGACAACGTCTCACTTCAACACATTCACGATATCAATATTGAATCGAGGTTACCTTCTTTTCATCATTGTTGCTGACTGCTCATCCCGAAATGCCGATCCTGATAATAAATACTAAGAGTAAACATTGTGATTAAGCTAATTTTTCTGCCTCCAGTGATGTATCTAGGAAAGTCGAAGTACTGAGAATTATGACAGTTGGTCGTGGTTGTTTTTGAAGACAATGGACAAACTTCAACACTTTAGGACCACTGACTACAACGTGGATCACTTCATGGAACATGGATGGAGAATAACTTAAAACAAACGGAATGGGGTTGTATTTAAATCGACCACTAAGAAAGGTAATTATTGGTAAATGTGATAAAAGTTTATCCGACGAAATCTGAAGGCAGACTTCCCAAACACCAGCTTCACAACACACTTAAGAACAATTAACGTGACAAGGAGTATGTTCAGCTTCAACTGTGATGTGTGTTTGCATTAACAAACAAGAATCCAATGTCAAAAACGGAATTCTCATCTTTCATAGCGCTTAACGAAGCAGCCATGACAGTTTTAATCAAAGCAACTAGATGGTCTTTAAAAGTTAGTGAAGCCAAGTGTAGTTCGTTTCTTTCTTAAGGTGGTCCTCAACGTGAACAATATAACAACCAATACAATCCTTGTGAAATTTTTTCCCATATTTCCATAAGATTTGGAATGATTATTAACGCTACAGTGTGCTTGATTTGATATCTGTAATGTTATTTAACGACGCTACGACAGGACTGTTACTGATTTATTGAACCTTTACCTTTCTTCATTATTACTTGAGTGCCAGCTTAACCCTGTAGGATTATTTCATAATCAACATTCATAACACCCAATTAAAAACAACCTGTCATCAAGCTTTTACTAAACAGTGAATAATCGAATAACGGATGAATGAGGTGCCTTCTTAAATGTTGATGCGATATTCCGACATTTCAGGTTTAAACAATGAACGTCGGCAATTTCCAATGATATTTTCCAGTGGTGGGACTTCATCAAACTGGACATTCACAACGGATTCATTGTTGATTGCCATTGTCACATAATCACGTATACACGGTACTCTTTATTCACGAGGGCAATGTTGTAAACTCTTGTAAAACTAATCAGCTTTTACTGAATGAAAACAATCACGTAACTACAGAAAACTATATTTAATATTGTACAAACAAAATTAAATCAGCCATTAAATAAACAATCATGGTAGTCGCGTGCTGTCCCATGGAACAATCTCCGATTTACTGAAATGATTAACATAATGGAAAGTGTTTACAGTAAAATAAAAAAGGAAAATGAAAGAGTCAGAATGATGAAAACAAACAAGAAGTCGTTTATGATAAACATGGAATACTTTTCTCTTTTCTATAAAACCATATTCCAATGGCACAGACGATGCATATAACAATGAATGTGACAACTACTGGTACAATAATGTACGCGTAATTGCGAGACTCTCCTTGTTTCTTATCTTCATTCATTTGTGTTGTCACATTCTGAAAAAGCAAAACAGTACAATAATTATTCAATATCAAATATTTACCGAATGAGTTTCAGTGTTTTCAGTAGTCTGCTTCAATTCAGTTCTTAAGTCGGTTACAGTAGTTGCTGGAGTTGTTTTGTCTTCTTCGACAACTTTTGGTTCACTTGGAACGTCAATCAAGCTATTCTGAAGAACGAAACAGACGCAATATCACTAAATATCAAATATCAATCAAATAATTCATCATCCATCATACACTATTGTCAGTATGGATGACACAAGTGAATTCAACAAATAGTTACTTGATTTACATTTGCACAATGTGATCAATGAATAATGATTTAGGATATCTGGTACCGATTTGACAGTCAATGTGATAAGTGCACGTTATCCTACAACTAACTGACGACTTATACAGGTGTGCTGAAATTTGTTTCCTGGATGTCACCTCTAATCACAATCTAAATATTAATCAACATACTTAAAATTGATGGCTCGATTGATGCAGTCTATAAAGGACATATATTTCTCAACAAGAAATCAGAAATACCTATACTGCAATTGAGCAATCCGAGTCTAAGAACTTTCACCAATCATCCAACCATTCTGCACAATTGTCGACAGATTACGCTTGATCATTCAGGCTGGTTTCACCGGTATTGTTCAACAGTTTCCGTGGACATATGGTTTCATATTAGACATCGGGAATCACTTCACATTCTATGAGCTGAAAAATTGATGTGTTTCCAGGTATTAGTGTTAAACAACGGTTCGATTGATTGTTGAATGTCCACATGGAAACAAAGCATTGTCCTGATGTCCGATTAAATATCGTGAACGTATACAATGCTTCGATTTATGCACTGAGGGAACAATACAAATCACTACTTATTCATATTGATAAAATTTACTTCCGGGTAAATAGATTTATAATGTGGAATATGCTGATACTGAAAACAACCTGTGGAGTCTAGCAATTACTTACTTTATTCTGGCAAAGACTGACTTTGAAGTCCTGAGTATCCTTATCATTGCTAGTAATGCACATATTAGCTTTTTCACACCACAAACACCTTGTGTTCGATGTTGTAGCGTCTTCACATGCTTTACTCGACTTGTGTTTTGGACAATCTTCAGTGAAAACAATAAGGTGATTGCATTTCAAGTTATGAAAGAAAACATCAGTGAACTACAAAACATGTAACTATAACTCAGTGAGTTTATGGCGATTTCGCAGTTGAATGACTGTTTTATTCACTGTGAATTTGTCATTACATTGCCCAATGCGAAATTCAGTACACCTACAATGTCATTCACATTTTACGACAACATGTTGGTGTTGAACAAAATTACGTTCAATAATGAACGGTGAGTTTTGACGAGCGAATTTCGTGGATTTCATTGACTGTCAATATTCAGAAATGTACATATTGAGCTGTAAATGAGTTCAGCAAAGCTGACTGCATTTGATTTTAGATGGTTGTCGAATTTCATTCGATGATGTCAATTTTATGACTGAAAGATGGCTTGTATACCACGCCTACTTATGACCAATGGAGAATTAGTTTGTAAACTCATCCAAACAGACTACTTGGAAATCGTTGCGAGAAATTCAGTTGCTCAAAGACAGATGATACATTTTCAATAATGTGAATTCAATCGAACGAAAAGGAAAAGTAACATGGTTTTTCAATTCATCGTTGAAGTTGTTCATGAGCAGATTTCACACAGTCTACTGCAAAGGAATATTTCAAACCATGTGAGTACATCCTATTCTATGCCTTATCATATAGCACGTCAGTCTAGTTCGATCGTGAAAATTCATTGATCGTAGATAATATTTCATTCAACGAATATTGATATCGATCTGAACATCGAATTATGGAATGATTCTCTCAGCTGTTGAAATTTTAATTCAATAGTCTAACACACGACGAACCGAACAGTGTTTGTGGTTATTCACTACAAGTATTTACAAGAAAGAAACCATATTCATACCATGAAAATCATCAGTATTTTCGATACTGTACAAATATCTACTGCCTATGAAAAATTGAAATCGGAACACGTGACTTGTCTATACCTTCAATTTACCGGCCGAGAAATTTTAGTTATTATGCTATTGTATACAACATAACTACAATTTCTTAGTGTTTCCGCGATTCCAACACCTCGTGAAAATCCACTACAGTGAATAGACGTGTGATGTGACGAGAGGTCAGACTAATGGTTGAAAATCATTTAATAATTGACCGAAATTATACATGAAATTTTCATTTTTATGAAGCAAAAATTGTGCAATCGAGTGTGAGAATAGTCAACTCTGATAAAATAAGGTTGAACATACCGCCATCAACTTCATGCTCTACCAAAGTTCCAGTTTTGATCCATTTTCCATTAACTGACATACGCGGATTCTTCCCTGTTTGTTTAATAAGTAGTACAGAAGAAGACATTTAGAATACTGATTTTCATTTTATGTTTAACAAGTTGTTTGCTCGTATAAGGAGCAATCAAAATAGGAAACAGTTTATTATCTTATCATGGATACAATGGTGGTCAAACAACATCCTCACAAAACATGTTTTAAATCATCTTTGGTTTCGAAAATGATCATTGTTCAACCAGTAAATGAAAAGTGATATCGTTAAAATTCTGGTTTGTGTCATGAGGGTTTCAGTGCAAAATCTTTAAAAAAATATGTTCAACTTGTTAGAAGTGTTTTCATAAATTGTCAACATTGATGTTTGCTGTGAAAAGACATTTCAACAGATCGTCAGGTAACTCTTTACCAAATACTTCATGTATTTTCTTATATTCAATCATTAAAGACTGCGTCCAACCTAATCACTTACATTAAAGGCTTGTCTTGGAATTCGGCTTCATCTATCAACAACATACGACCATTTCAGAGTAGCTTGACGTTTCAGCACTGTGTAAAACAACTATGAGACCCGCTTGACAAAATATGCTTCCTTTTTTATGAAGTTGTGTAAGAATAAAAAACTACAGGTTTGACTGATCGAACAGTGACTGAATAAAATAATAGCTGTATCATCTACCTAATTTAGTCGTTCATATATTCCTGTCTGGATCAGTCAATGCACAAACATATGCGAAACATTCCTCAAACTATTCAATGACTCTTTATCTCATGTGACATGACATGTGTTGGCATACAGAAAATAGTGTGCAAATAGATAGTAATATTACTCCAACAAATGCTTGTTCATGTATTTCAATGTAAATCAGAATATAAATGACATTCGTTACCTTTTTCTCCACACTTAATATCACCGTTAACGACCGATTCCGGTCCACTATTCCGGATTTCTTCAGGAACCTGAAAAGATGTAATAGATGTCTGAGTCAACATCTGTCAACACACTAACACCTATAACAAAATCAACAAACCATTCAAGTAATGTGTCGTCATTCACACAGTCTACCAACACAAAGACAAATTACCACACTCACAGCAAGCATACTGATCGCCTCAGTCCCTTACAACTATGTTTCATCTAGTCTACAAACATATTCTGACTCACCCCAGTTGTCAACGTCAGAGCAGTTAGATATATGATCCATCTGTCATAGAATGAGGTGATATATTGTGAGATAAATATCCGTGTCGGTTGATAGAAATGTGATTGTGAGTAACTGCAATATTACTGCACGTGAATTTGTTGTCATGTTGTGTGATTGTGTTGATGAGCTCACTTCCATCCATTAGCGTTCATTTCCCTGGTGAATGTTTTCCATGATGTGTTCTGATTACCTCGAAACAATCAAAACCGATCCAGTTCAACACACATGACACCTTTCATTTTACAAGCCCATCCTGGCTGCCTGTATTCCGAATGGGTGAATTAATGAACACTAACATTCAAACACTTACACACTGAGAAACAATCAGTATTTGAACAACTTATCACTAAGATTATTCAACAGTGAACGTTTCAAACATCTGATCTTCAGAAGACGTAACGAAGCTTGACAACATATAATTGTTCCCTGGTAGTGTGGTGTGGGCTACTTATATCCATATAAGAAGTATATGACGTTAGGAAGGAACAGAATGTCTATTAGCAGAGACAAGAGGATCGAACAGTAAAGGTTGAAAACAGAATGCAATTAGTATGAAAACACCAGAACAATGAAATCTGAGTCATTTTGAGACAATTGATGGACATTTTTCAAATTACGCATTTACTATATGATTGTTAGATTTTATTAACAATTTCTGTAATTTCCTATCAAATTCATTCTTTTATCTCGCACTCATGTTCCTGTTCACCACAGTAGTACCCTGACGTACTCTGTTTTAACTTAGTCGGCGCGAAGACACCAGAATTTCTTCAATTAACTTCCTACCATTCACTGTTTTATAAAAGTGCTAGAATAAAGTGCATCACAAGAGGATTGTTAATAGTTTCATATAGTTTGTGTGAACATTAACAAATGCTGATCTCTCTCTGACGTGTTCAATGTACCTTGATGCATTCGACAGTATTGAATTGCATTAAATAATGGAATAATCCGAAGTACTTGAAACAAAACAACAGTTACATTCAATTGTGCGACTTACGTTCTCATAATACAAAGATATCTTCCCGCTCGGATGTATCAGAATTAACACCTTTAATATAAAATCTGCAACAAGAAGACTGTGGTTATTTAAAATTTCAGGAATTTATGGTGAGCATGTTATTGTCAGACATGATATTGTGTGTGTCTACCCACACAGTAATCAGATTTGGGCAGATATTTACCGTGTTATCTCAAGTGATTTCTTTAGTTGAATTCAAAGTATATATAATCTGCTGAACTTCATGCAACTCCGCCTGTAGCTCTTCTAGAATTACTTACGCTCACAAGATCGGATAAGAAAGAAGGGTTGAGCATGAAGCCGACAATCCCATACGGTAGAAAAAAGTCTTGCTAAAAATCATCAACCACATTAAAGAAACTAAACCATTTAAACTCTGCCCTAAGAGCTGAAGGAAGAATTAGGATGCCTCAGCATGAAAACTGAGATTCGTCGGGAGTCACGAGACCGATGCCCACTGTAACAGCCAGAGCAACATTTATTATAATTACATGAAATGTCCGGACAATGTGGGATACAGGGAGGACTAACCAAACAGCTACTGAAATAAGGAGAAACACCTTTGCGGTGCTCAGAATAAATGAAAACTATTGGACCAAATCTGGTCACGAACAGGAAAATGCTTCACAAACTCAGGGAGCAACTATATGGTACAACAAAGAAAATATCACGGAGATATACTAAACCATAAAGACCGGACAAAGAAGGAAAGACAATCATCGAGATTCAAGAAATGGAGAATGGATGGGTAGAGTACTTTAAGAAACTGTCGAATAGACCAGCTCTATTGAATCCACCGGACATCAGAGAAGCACACACACACCTACTTATAGATGTCACTCCACCAACGATCGAAGAAAACAGAATGGCCATCAGACAAATCAAGAGAGGGAAAGCAGCAGGATCTGACTATATACCAGCTGAAGAATTGAAGTATACATTGAAATATCTGCGAATATGCTTCACCTTCTATCGAAAAACAATTAGGAGGAGGACGAAGTACCGACGAACTGAAAAGAAAGGTAACTCATCAAGGTACCAAAGAAAGGAGATCTGAGCAAATGTGAGGACTACACATGAATTGCACCACAGTTAGTACCAGGAAAGCCTCTGATAGAGTGTTGCTGAACCGAACGAAAGACGCAGTAGACGCCGAATTTTGAGATCAACAGGCTGGATTCCGTGAGGATTGATCGTGCACAGACCAAATTCAGACACTACAGATCATCGTCGGAAAATCAGTGTAGTAAAACACGTCTCCATGCATCAACTTTATTGACTATGGAAAGGCGTTTGACAGCGTGGATGGGAGAACATTGTGGAGCCTTCTTCGAAGTTATGGAGTTCCCGAGAAGATTGTCAATATTATCTGGAACACACAAGACGGAATACAGTGCGAATTGGTGCATAGAAGACAGCTGACAGATGCATTCCAAGTGGGGTCCGGAGTCACACAATGCTTTCTAATCTCCCTCTTTCTCTTTCTTCTGGTGGTTGACTGAATTGTGAAGACCTCGACATCCGAGGAAAAGCACGGATTACAACGGACAACTAAAAATCAACTACAGGATTTTTACTTCGCATATGAACTAGGTCGCCTATCCCCTACAAACGAAGAAGTGCAGATGAATACAACTAGTGTAGCGGCAGCCTTTGCATCAGTCGATCTCAACATACACAAGGAAAAATCCAACACCTCAAACGCAACACGGGGGACACACAGTCAATTATAGTTTGTGAAGAATCTCTCTAAGATATGGAATCTTTCATGTACCTGGGAAGCATCATTGATGAAAAAGGAGGATAGGATGTAAAATGAAGGCAAGTATTGGCAATGCGATGGCCGCATTTATACAATTGAAGAAAATGTGAAACAAAAAACAACTGTCCATCAGTTAATGTCAAAGTCAGAATCTTCAAAATGAAGGTCAAGACAGTCAGTCCTACTGTACGGAGCTGAATCTTGGAGAACTACAACAACCACCATCAGAAAGGTAGAAGTATTCATAAATAGTTGTCTATGCAAAATACTCAACATCCATTGACCGGATACCATCGGCAACATTCTTCTGTGGGAGGGAACAAATCAGCTTCCAGCTGAAGAGGAAATTAGGAGACGACGATGGAAATGGATAGGGAATACACTACATAAGTCATCAAACTGCATCACGAGGCTGGAACTAATTTGTAATGCTGAAGGGAAGCGGACAAGTGGAATGCCATAGAACATATTATGTCAATGAAGATGAATATCTGTATTCGCTTATTCACAAGTGGAATGAGATTGTGACTTGATTTATCCGCACTGATCTATTGATTACTTGTCTAACCTACTATGTTCGTGCTTATTTCAACTGTTCTTCAAGACTCAATCAATATGTTCAAACAATCAATGGATTCCATGTATAGTTTCCGCCTAATTTTTCAGAATGTTTACTCTTTATTACTTCAGTCAATTTTCGAAAAGAATTCAGTTACGCGTGCTAAACAGAAAACGTGAGAGTAATTACAAGGAATGATGGTGTAAGTGTTAATATGTCACATGTGTTCAAACAATCATTTAATGGATACATACTTTTACCATCAACATCTTTGTGATAAGTTTGTCGGACAGCTAATAAATCGTCTGAAATAATGAAAGGAAAGAAAGTTGTGTTTATATATCTGCAATCTGAATATTCGCCCCATTCAATAAACATACATCTCAACACAGAATGAGTTTGGGCATGATTTATCATCTTCTTTTCAACATTTAAATAAACCGGTTCAAATAAATCAGAGTTTGAAGGATTCTTATTGATATTTCAACGACGAGATGAACATTTCAATGCTTACAACTGAGAAGAATATATTACTTCTGAAACGTCGGATCTAAAAGTTTTTGGTTAACTAGGATATCTTTGATATCCTTCCGACAATGCACATACGAAATTATTTTCTGAAATCCTGTTATTTCAATGAATCAGTGTTTTCTCTATTTACCTAGGTATTATGCAGAAATGCTACTCCAATGTCATTAATCCTGATAACTGAGCGTGTGAATTAACTGAAGCTGTATGTCCCAGGTGTTCTGGTTCTAATCAATCATGTTGTTCTAGAAGGTTGTCAATGGTTGTTCGTTGACTGAATGTTTGAAGAGGCGCATGATTTCGAACTACATGATCATACCACTTAGTGTCGCAGTGGTGAGATATCTGTTTTATGGTAGTTTGAACAAGCAAAAGAGCAGGTGGTTTTCGCTTGAGTGACTGCATCATTATATTTGTTATTTCTACTCAATCAATTTGTGACTATTTTGAAAGTTGATCGCTGTTTTAATAAACCTTTTCATTCGACAGTGATACGTGCTGTGAACACATTTTAGGCTACCAAATCACAAACAAATCAATCACTGTGTACTGGAAAACTCTCATGAAATAATCAAGTTAAGTACTGAATCATTAACTTAAAGTGGAAGTGAAAAATAAAGAATATCACTGAATGAATGAAGAACTCACTCTCATTCGAAATCTCGGATCCAGACAGCAAACCACGTGGTATGAAAGTGGAAATTGCTCCTAATTCATTATTTCCTTCCATAGTTATTAAACCTGAGTTTATTAAATAAAAATATGCAATTTGATTGACAATCTGCAGTAAATGAAGGAAACAATTTGAAATTAACTGGAGACTAAAATGAATTGTATGAACCGTGATTAGTTTGTTGTAAGGCGTCAAACTACTTGCAAGCTGATATCAGTAGTTGGTCTGAATGTCAGAAAGAAGAACTAAACTGATTTACTGAAGAAATTAAAACAACTTTGATTCATGAAATGAAGTGTGAATAAGCAAATTTCAGTAACATTTTTCGTTCAAAGAAAATGATTCTCTTACCACTGGTGTGTATAGTTAGTACACTAACGTCTGTGCCGTAAAATTTAAACGCGAATTTTAGAGTGATTTTCTTGAAAATATACAAACATGTGAATTATTATCTTCATTGCAAAATGAGATCAACTCACCTCATCAGTAATGTATTTTACAAAGTTATCATTTACAACAGGGGAAGGCTGATTAAGGCGGATTGTCTGGAAATAGTAATAATTATGAGACTGCATACATGTATTATAACCTGACTGATTACTTACGTATTCATGAGAGTCGTCTTCAAAAATTACTTTTCTATATCTCTCTAGTCCAGGATCCTCACAAATTTTATGGCAGTAGAAGACTTTCGAAATGAATACGACGACCGAACAAAGAAGTATGAACTGGTCAGATGATAAAGTATATCTGAAATAGTTCAGATGAACAAAACAACGTTATCTCATTGGATCACATTGAAATTCATAAAACACGCTCATTTGTCTCAACTGCACAGTGAACACTCACCTCATCATGTCGTCCAAAACGATAATAACTGGTGTTAGATCTTGTCGAGTTTATATAGATTTTGAAGTGTTATTTTGTTTCTCTCTGATTGGATGATTCAAAGTGACCATTCAGACGATCAAAATTCATGAAATCATATAATCATTATGAACCAATCATCGTGGTAGGTGGATACGTCATTATGCAATATTCTTCTAGCTATTGATGCATATAAACTGACAGTTACACCGTTGGTTGAAATGCTTGACCCCTTTTGATGAAAACCATTTCTGGATATAATTAGTATTACTTTACACTCAGTGATTGGTCAACGTATAGTGCTCATATTTTCACGAACAAACATTTTGTTGCTTGTGATAATCTGTGAATTGGTTGTCAATGGTGCATTGTTTCGATTCGATTGGTTAAAATCATGATGGCCATAAACTGTTTTGAGTGTACATCTGAATTCACGTTCTGTCAGATGATTCCATCATTGTTGAATGTGGAATTGTAACTTATGAACAAAATCACATTAATTCTATTTGTTTAAGGTATTTTAGTCTACGCTAAACGAAACGACTCAATTATTGATGAATGAATAACAGTCTATACTTTTGTAAATGTATAGTGATTTCAGTGAAGAAACCAAGACTATTTATTTCACTGTGTATTG